GAGAGAATGCGGTCATTTTTCAAAATAAAAGATCGTTCAGACTCAGATAATAAATAAAACGGAAATAATTAATGATTTCTTGTGCGGCCCGGTACCAATTGATCCACGGACCGGTACCGGTCCGCGGCCCGGGGGTTGGGGACCACTGGTCTATAATATGGTCTTTTAAATTGTTATCTAATTGTTTTGTTTTGCTCAAGTTTTTAGAAATGTCTTAATGATGAGACACCAATTAGGCAGCGCAGCATGGACTGTGGAAACACTGGGCTGCCAGTGGATGGGAGTAGCTGTGGACTCCTTATTGTCAAAGTAAGACTACCTGTTTAGTCAAAATGAATATGTTAGATTTAGGATAGTATTATGCACAGTGTGCACTAAGTGGTGCATTCCTTCAGTTTGCAGATGAATACCTTCCGTGTGGATCACTCTGATAGTGGTAAGTCGTCAACCTTGCAGGATATTGCAGCAGTGTTTATGGGGTCATGGGTCTGAGTTTTACGAATTGAGCCCTGCAGCCATGTGTAGCTATTCCTGCCTTGGAGCCCCTCTGGCCACTTTGGGGCAGGACAGTTCAGCCCCCTCATCTTCTCATTGGCTCCAGCTGCAGTAACTTCTCCTTCATTTCTTCTTGGCCTGGCGACAACAGTGTTTGTTCCAACGCGAGAAGCGGCTCTACATGTTCTCAGAAGTCCGTGGCTCTTCTCCTTTACTAAATCCCTGGTAGTCTGATTATTATCTCAACCAAAATAGTAAGGGTTTAAAAGAGGCCAAACCCGACAGGGACAGAGAGAGGCGGGGACAGAAACCAACACCAGGGTTGCTGGAAACTTGACTGGTCTCTTGGACCGAGCTGTCCGCTGGTATGTCCACAACACATTGCCGTTCTGCTCTATTAACGTATGTGTGAGCGCCAGTAACTAAACTCGCTTCACTTGCATGAAATGTTGGAGTTATTGGCTAAATAAAATAACGATAAGAAGCACTAAACACCTTTTTTTTAGTTATTAAACCAGGTACAAAGCGGGTTTGGCCTGTTTATCTCCACTTTGGACGGCTGATCTTCAGTGGAAGCTTCCCATGCTGCGTTTAGTGGCATGTAAATGTCAACATGCATCTTGTCTGTACATGAGGGCTTATGTGATATTCAATTCAAATATATATGGATATACAGTGCAAACTGTTTTGCAGCATAAATAACAGCCAAATTTCACATTTTTACTTTTTTATTTGAATTTCTGTTCGTTTTTATGGTTTTACAGTGTTGTATTTGGTATACCTGTGCAGGGTGTGAGGCATATGTTGCAAAAAGTTCCAGACAAATAAACATAGTGAGGCAGAGAAGGTAGAGAAAGTGAACAAATAAACTTGAAAGGTCTCTGTTATGATGGTCTCACTGGTGGTGGATTCCAGCTGATTGTATTCTACAGCTCCCATTCTGCAGCTTCTTGGTACAGTTAATTTTATAGCAGAAAACCAGTCAGATGATGTTGACATATACAGTTACATGGGTGAAAGGAGCTTTATTCTGGCTGTTTGTGGAGGAATAGGGTATTTGCAAACGGGAGACACATGTATGCCTACATACATCAGTGCTTTCTAAGAAATCCCAGCCCATTTCTAAAAGTTCAGAAGTGTGGTTGCCTGTTTTCTGACTGTCCATAAAGCTAGACCATGACTGACCAATTTGTTAAAATGTAGAACCATTCTGTGTGTGCTTTGTGCCTTCCTGTGTGTGTGTGTGTGCTGGGAGAAGGGAGCAGTAGGTCAAGAAGGTCATTTAAGTTTATCCAAGCATAGAAAAAGAGAAAATACAGTCGTTCTTTTGAGAAAGACTGTGTTAAAGCCCAGAAATGAAGAATAAGAATGCAGGATTTTTACACTTCTTTTAAAGAAGTTATGAAACTTACAAATTTCACAGTGGAGGAGGCACTGAAATATCCAAAGTTGTAAGTATGAGTAAAATTTGACCTGTTTCTATTTATGTACAGGCCTTTTTTTCAGTTTTAAAACCTTACATTTTATGATTAAGTTGGTTTTCTACAAGGTAGCTTGACAGGTGGTTTGTTTTTCTTTGAAAAGAAAGCAGTACACCACCAAGGTTACTCACAGGTCTGATAACCAGACTTTATCAGTCCATATAATATTACTGAGTCAAGTTCAGGTAACCTTGGTGAATCGCTTTCCAAGGTTACCTGAATCTGCAGGTTCGACTAGCAATTATTTTCAGCAAGTGTTCTTCAGTCAATATATTTTAGTCCAGAAACTGTCCGTAAACAGTGCATGTTCACAATTTCCCTGAGGCCACGGTGATGTATTCAAAGGCTGACCATCAGTTAATAAATGTACACAGTTCACACATGACTTTTATTTGCTGAATAAATAACTTGTACAGTTGTTTTAATTATCAAAAATATTGTTGATAAAGTTTACCAACAACTGACTTAATTACAGTTTTTTTGGTACATTTCTCAAATCATCCTTGTCATTTCCAAAATAATCCATGCTTTTCTTGAAACAATTCATACAAACAGCACCACATAATGGATTACCAACAAAAGTGCGTAACAGTACCTTGTCTCACATTGTTTTTGTTAACAGGTGTTTATTTTTCAATTGCAGAGAAAGTATATTGGCAATATCATATTTGTCTTTATCTAGACTGTTTGAGGGTAAAAAGAAAACTAATACCAACTGACAACCATTGAATGTTTGCCTAAGCCACCGTTCTTCGTTTTCTTTTGTGTTTATGACAAGATGGCGAAGCCTTCACTGGACAACAACGAGGACAGCGCCTGGTTAGGTGAAGGCCCCTCTGAAACTCAGGTTACAACTGGTCCGGATGGAGGTGAGATTACCGATGGAGACCGGCCAGCATGGGACTCTAAGATTCAGTATGTGTTGGCCCAGGTGGGGTTCAGTGTGGGCTTAGGGAACGTGTGGAGGTTCCCATACCTTTGCCACCAAAATGGAGGAGGTGAGTGTCTTTAAAGAAAGAATTGTAAATTTCAACTCACTGGATTAGACTGAGAGGCACAGTGGAGCAGTGGTTAGCGCTGTGACCTCACAGCAAGAAGGTTCTGTGTTTGAGCCCGGGCTGACCCTTTCTGTGTGGAGTCTGTACGTTCTCCCTGTGCCTGCGTGGGTTCTCTCCACTCACTCCAGCTTCCTCCCACAGTCCAAAGACATGCAGCTTAGGTTGATTGGTGACTCTAAATTGCCCTTAGGGGTGAGTGTGTGTGGTTGTTTGTCTACATGTCAGCCCTGTGGCGACCTGTCCAGGGTGGACCCCACCTCTCGTCCACAGTCAGCTGGGATTGGTTCCAGACCCCTGCGACCCTATTCAGGAATAAGCGGTGTAGATAATGGATGGATTAGACTGATTATTACTGTATATCCCTTAATACAGTGGTCCCCAACCTTTTTATCACCGCAGACTGGTCAACGCTTGACAACTCTACTGCGGAC